GGTCCATATTCATTACTACAGACTGATTTTTTAATAATAATATAATGTTGTTTTTAAGCTAATAGCATTGCAGGTTTCACAGCAATAACATATATAATAAAAAGTAGATGTGCACAACATAAAATCTTTTTTAGTTTTATCAGAGGACACACCTAACCCAAAATTCAGTGTGCTATTCCACATACTGCTCATTGCAGTAACTGAATCAATGAATTGTGTCTTTTTGTATTTAATCGATAAAAACAGCACAGATCAGCTGAGACTGTGTTATCAGGGCCATTTTATCAGAGTTCTGTTCAGTTCATCTGTGCATTATGCAGTTTAACATACTTTTAACACATTCATTAATACCACGAATATAATTTAGACCTAAACATAACAGGTGCTATCAGTGTGTGTGATTGAGCACTACACTCTGTGTACACTAACTGTATTAACACCCCGCTAGCACTGTGTTGGACCTCCTTTTGATCAAGGTGCTGGAAACATTCCTCAGAGATTCTGGTCCATATTTACATGATAGCAGGACACGGTGGCTGCTGATTTGTCAGCTGGGCGTCTCTCGTCCCGCCACATCTTACTGGTGCTCAAAAATGCAGCAACAATACTCACGTAGGCTGTGGTGATCAAATTATGCCCAAGTGTGCCAAAAAAAATACACTTGGGCATAAGTGGACATAGTCAGAGTCAAAGGTATTCGCATACCTTGGAATATGGTGTTCTGATTATTTGAGTTGCTATTGGCTGAACAGCAGTCCGCTTCCACTTCCACTTTGTTGGTGCCATATGATTGGTTGATTAGATCTTTGTGTTTAATGTCCAGCTGAAAAGGTGTACCTAACAAAGTGGCATCAGTTGCACATAGCATAGTACATGCATGCAAAAGCTTATCCGTTGTTCAAATGTTAGCAAAGCTAAGAGAAGTTTCCTACTGACTGTGCATGTGCCCACAAAAACACTTATGTTTCCCTTGTAGCCCCAAATTTAAAGGCTTCTAATGGAGCTGTGAAAACAGTCTCAGGAGAGAATCCACGGTCTGTTTAGAAAAGCAGTCAGCATGTCATCCGAATCAAGGATAACGCATCTGATTATGAAGCTGCTACGTCAGTGAGGGATGCTGTTGCTGACATTGTGTGAAGAATGCTTCCCCGCAAAATGGCACTGCAGCTGTCCAGGGCACAGAGAGAGTCTGAGGGATCAGACCGAGAACAGATGGAAGCGGGAGCAGTTTGTGAGAGGATAGGGTTACCTTAGCTGAAGCCTGCATTCATGGAAAAGGAGGTCAGAGGTTAAAAAATCTCCATACATGTGTGTAATCCTTTGATGCACGATTGCATAATGAGTCTGTGTGTTTAAAAGTGGAAACGGTCAGCTAAGAAGACGTCAGTCCGGTGAACCTCTGCTTTTTCTGACCAGGTTGCTCAAGGTTATGAAGAATTAATTTCCTGGATTTGGGAGAGCTTAAATTATTAAGGATGGAGGGCATCAAACAGGTGGACTCACTGAATGTAACCTTTACTCGCCATACGAAGGACAATGGAGAATCGGTCTTCCACACATGCCTTTAGCTTGCAGCCTTTGAGCTTTGATTATTTCCAATCAGGAAACTGCAAATGCACATTATATAAACACATTATTTTGCCATTCTCTCATCTCATATAAAGCTCTTCTCCAGAAGCACTAAGTGTGTTTAAATTAGCTGTGGTTTTACTAAAAGTAACCTCGAGGTCATTTAAGAGGAAGCTTAAAAAGGACAGAGGTGTTTAGTTTTTGCAATTGCATAACCATCCTTGCTTTATAACTCTGTTTAAGAGTGCATTACTGCCACTATGTAAAAACGATCTCTTTCTATATATCTGCATATATCAGTGAAGGTCTTTAAAATCACAACAAATGCATCACTTCACCCAAAAATGCTCGACTACTGAGCATGCAGAACAAAATAAAAGGCAAAGAGTAAATAATAATTTTTGTAAAAGCACAATGAATGAGGCACTTCTTAACAACATCTGATGCTTTAACTGTTATAGCTGTCGCTACTCTGACTCCGTTATTGTGACAATAAATAAACAGATTCACAAGAGAAATTTTATATCAGTGTCTATAGACTTTTTGAAAGAATGCTGATTATTTTTAACTTTGTTTATTACAGGGGTGTCAAACTTAAGGCATGGGGGCCAGAATCAGCCTGGCAAAGACTCCAGTCCAGCTTTGGGAAATGTGAAGGAGTGCACAGATTTTTAACTTTTAAGTGGATTGTCATAAATTGCAGTTTTTCCAACCAATATCGACTCCATCCCCATCGCCATTCATACTACACCAAAGTAGTTAAGTAATGATCAAACTTATGATCAAAGGTAAATCAAACATACATTAGAGAAGTGGACATAGAGTCAAACATATGCTCAACCACACATACACATACACTTCCATATACCTACTGAATGTGAACTATAGCTGAAAAAGTAAACCTATAAACGTATATGAAATTTACCCAACGTTTTTGGGAGTGATAGTAACTACTGATTGCAAGGGTGACAAGAAATAAGATTGCTGGTAGGGATACTCCTTTTTTAGTTACCTTTTAACTTTATCAGACAGTGACAATATGCCACATTTAGAATAATTATACCATGGCTGGGGATCCTTTGCAGGAAGAAGGAAGCGGCGGTCTACACGATGACCTCACTGCTTCATCTGAAGACCAGAAACAGCACTGGCTCCATAAGGCCAAGGAAAAGACAGGATATTCCCAGAATGCATTTCACAGGGGGCAATATGCTAATATTAGCACAGCAGCCAATGGCAGTTCAAGAGTTGTGCTCCAGATACACGAGGGGGCTGGATCAGGTTACGTGGCTGAGACACAAACAGCGTACGTGCAGCACAGAGAAAGTAGACAGAAGACTGTACTGGGCCTGCTAGACTAATCCATCACTCCAGACATATGTATATAGGAGTCCAAAAGGTCAGTCAGGTTACCGAATGGGCTCACAGGTCATAACTTTAGGAGCAGTAGTAAATCCTCAGGCTGCCCCTGATACAGTTTAGGATCTGAAGGCAGAGCAGGACCATCCTTGGGCAAAGTGTACAGTGACTGAAATGAGCGGCAGGAATTCACTCCAAGCATTTGCACACTGTCTTCTAGCACATGCTCAGGTTCAAGTGGGTAATGGTGACTTTGCTGTTTTGCCTTTTCACGTATCGAAAAACAAGTCAAGTTCTCTGTCTGCTGTTGATTAAATTCCAGCAGCTGTGAGGCTCCATACTGTAGTGGTTTACACGTTTGCTTAACTCGGTCATGTTGGATGGCCGCCCTTCCCTGAGTCTGTTTCTACTGAAGGTTTCTTCCTGTTAAAAGGGCGTTTTTCTTTCCCACTGCTACCAAGTGCTTGCTCAAAGACGGTTATTTGATTGTTGTGGTTTCTCTCTATTATTTTAAAGGGTCTGCCTTAAGGTGACTTGAGCTCTAAATAAATACAAATGAATTGAGAGGAGGAGGAGACACGAATCCCTTTGGGGGTTGCTTCAGGAAGGGCACAAAAACTGCCAAATCAAACATGCCGAGCTACCCGCTGGGGTGACACCTTGTGAATAAGCTAGCAGCCAAAAGTAGCTCCAGTTTATTTCTAATGATACTGTATAACTTACACTTCTGATATTAATGTAACACAGTATCAGTTCCAGAGTGCGTGATCGCTGCGGCTCAGAATACACTGTTCCCCCATGTCAAGCTCAGCCTCCTGGTTAAGTAACTTGATTAATAAACCACAGGTTCACTGAGGCACTGCTCTATCCTCAGAGCAGAGGTGGGCTTTCATTTTGGCACCTCGGAGCTTGAAGACATTTCTATTTGCCTCAGAGGACCTTGCAGAATCACCCTGGTGTCACATATGCACACATGCATGAAGCAATAAGCAAATTTTGAAGTGATGGAGGAGGAGATTTTAGAGTTTTTTATTTTTTATTGATCACAGTCGTAGACATGCAAGTTTCAGATGGATGGTTATTAAAGATTGTTTGAGTTGGTGGCAAGCTTTTAGCGTTAGCTTAGTTTGTGTAACAGATTCCCGCATCTGCTGTGTGGTGTTCCTAAAAACCTCGCGTTGAACAGCAGAGCCTCATAATCCAGACTGTCGACAGGAGTTGCAGCAAACGAAGCGAACCCAACGTATATTAAGTTCATGTTTAATTAATAATTCACAGATGTCTGTTATTGATCATTTCAGGATTATCTATAAACACATTTTATGTGGTGGAGTAACATCGTGGCTTCCACAAAACACAAGGATGATCTGATATCCTCGTGTTGGTGTTGTTCCCAGACCATCATGAAAATGTTGTTCCAGGTTCAACATTGCAAGTGACCAATCACATTGTTGTGATGTTATTCTTTTGCGAACCAAGCCATTCGTGCATTTATGAAATTCCAATGTTGCAAGGACAATATCAATTCTGCTTACTGTTTATTAAAGGGTTACGGTTAGGGTCAGGGTCCGTTGATCGGCGGACAGAGGCGGTTTCTCGCAGCTTAAGTACAGTTTTTTGTTTTACGCTGGTTTTTCCCGAAGTCGCAAAAGTATGACGTCACAACATTCTGATTGGTCACTTGCAATGTTGATCTGGGAACAACACCAACACGAGGATATCAGATCGTGCCTCACGGGAAGATGTTTTAGCTCTGTTGACCCTTCCTGTAATCCAGCTTTCTTTTGATTGGCAGCCTGAAGCCTGAGCTCTAGAATAAAGGGATTACTTGAACATACACTGACCTCCTTATTTGAAACTTTGGCCGTGTTTAACAAGAGCAACTACCATTGTAACAGGCTTGATAACAAAAAACAAGGAGGAACATAACATACTCAGTTAATTTTGTGGCAGAGCCATCGTGTCAGGTATGAAGTAATGAATTAATCATGGCATTTATTAATACCATCCCAAATCACAGTAAATTATGATTAAATAAATATAAACTTTTTTAATGTTTCTCCTTTTTCTGTTTTTAATAAATTTGTTTGCGCTTTCAAAAGCTGAAACAAAAATCTGGTGTAGCTCCAAAAGTGATATTGACTCTCATTATTTTCTTCCAGGAGTGAAAAATAAATTAACAGCTTATTCCAAATACTAGAGTCCAAACACCGCAATGCATACTGCATGCATGCTTTGTTTCTGCTGTGCTCTCAACAAAGCCTTGGGCATTTGCATAACTTCCCACAGTGTTAATAAGATGACTGACCTAAAAAAACATATCAGCTGTATGGAGACCTTGAATAGATTCATGTTATATCATTCCAATTAAATCTTAAATAATGGAAAATGAAACTGATATCTCCTGATGTGGAGGCAACAGTGAAAGCCTCTCTCACATTCAAGCGGATCACAGCCAGATGGCACTGAGTTTCCACGCAGCGCTGCCGCCTGAACTCTGCCCTCTAGTGCTTCAAGCTGAAATCACTGATGTGCAAACAGCAGTGAAGACCGAATGTACTCCAAACCAGACAACTGAAGAGTTCAAGGACCCTGCTCAGCTGATGAGAAACACCTCTTTACAGTTCAAAAGACGCACATCTGAATGTGTTTTCTTCTTTCATTAAAAAAATTGACAAAAATAGAGAGACTTTTTTCACAAAACCATGTATTTAGCCAACAAGGACAAAGCAAGTACATGTACAGTGTGGATTGTTTTTCCAAAGCATTATAAAAAACATATGAGCACAAAGACTGAGCCACATGAACAAGCTGGATAAATACGGGAACAAATATTCTTGCTGCGCCTGGTATCTGGTCAGGGTTTCATTCCTCGTTGTTAGCGCAGTTAATGCTAACACTATTGTCATTTAGCTGGTCATCATTGGCAATGTGGTAACCATGGTTACTGGGGTCACTGTGGTAACCGTGGTCACTGGGGTCGCTTTGGTGATTGGTATCATGATTCAGTTCTGCATATTCCACAGACGCCTGTTGAAACACGAAGGTTGTATGAACGATTATTTTCATTGGCTCACTGAGTTAAATGCTGACTGTACGTGCGGTACTGTTTAGTGATTTTACTTATTAAGATTATTATTTCTCAGTTGATACAGCGATAACATGAGACATTCATCAGGATTGTTTCTACAAACTCTGGAGAGCTCCTCCAGAAGGATGGAGGAGGTTTGAGAGATGCTATCATATTACTCCTCCTAATGAGTTAACTCAATGTGATGAGCAAATTTGGAGCCTTTTACTCAGCTACATTAGATGCTTTTTTCCTGCAAATTTTATATTACATGAAATGCAACCCTTTAAGTTACCTTTCTACAAACAATAAAAAGTGTCTCCACTGGGTTTCCACTTATTGTACAGTTTCTGTCTGTGAGATGTTTCTCGGAGCAAAGGCAAAATACAGTCATGAGTGTGTGTGTGCGTGCAGCTCTTGGTAGTATGTGTATGTGCATGACGTGTTCACACTTACAGCATCAGCCAGCTCTTGAACACCTGCAAAAACAAAGCCAGAGGACAAGCTCAGGAAACAAAAGGTGTGTGAGGATTAAATGAGGGCTGTTTTAGTTTCCAGCACTCCCATGAACAGCTCTCTATTCCCAGGAAACAGGCAGCTTATCACATCCGACACATTCATACTGATCATTCTCATAAGCTCATGTCTTTTTAGACACGCTGCTTCCTGAGACACATGCACAAAAACCCTTCACTCCAGATCATTTGCTTTCTCCATATAATACATTAAGTTCTTAACTCGGATTATGTAAAGTGCCCTGAGATGACTTAACTTAGGATGTGGTGGTGTATAAATAAAACTGAGCTGAATTGTGCTGTATCACTCATTAAGTAATATTATATTATTAGGAGCCGAACTGAACAATGGACAATAAATTTCAAACAATCAAGCACTTTGCTTACTTAGCCTTAACAGATGCAAGCATTGTATGAGTCTGTTGCAACAACAGGAAGTGCTCTTTGACGAAAGCAGGAAGTGGACACCTAGGGACTGGCCCTTCTGTTTTAATGGTACATTCTTTCAGTAACAATGCAGATGTTTACAGTTGGGCTTGATCCTGTTTCCTGTTGCTAGCGTTTTTTTTCTTAATCTAATGACCTGATTTCTCTCACCGTGTAGTAGAAAAGGGGTCTGTGTGAGGAGCAGGATGTTAGTCGTACCTTGCTGGGAGATGCGTACTTCACCGTGTACTGTGTCTGTGCCCTGTTTCACCGGAACTGACATGGAACAGATATAATATTTTAGACTGAGCTTTAAAAAGTCAAATTACAACTTATTAAAATTCAGAAAAAATCTCTCACCTCTGCTGGGATCTGCCTGTCGCAGCTGATCCTCTTTGTACTGAATTTCTGGCTTTTCTAGAGTGTTTGTACTACAGTTGTCATCAGACTCTGCAACACAGTGAAATGAGCAAACTTAAATTACTTGCATATTGGAATATTTCATTATTTTTATTTAAAAAAAATAGTATGACATGATATTTAATAACAAAGATATGTTCTTTTGCTATTTTCTTTTTCAAAAACAGCATTAAGAGAGAAAAGTCAACAATGTCTGAGTAGCTGACGTGGTATAACTTATTTTTTTGTGCCAATGATCTCAGTTTTTCTCTAAAAGAAATCAGAAACACACTGATTAATCATTCTGTCTCACCGGGTGAGATGTTTCCTCATTAAAAAGAGACAAAAAAGCCCAGAAGAGCACACTTACTGGACAAACTTTAGATTTATGTGACGGGAAACAAACCTTTTGAATTAAAGTATTGTTGACTTTGAATCTTCATGAGATTTCATGAGTTGCTACCAATAAATAAGTACTTTACATACCCGAGCCTGATACATGTTCACTCCAAATACTTTTCCCCATCATGCCTGGAGTTGCTGCACAGGGAGAATAAACATGGCACAGATCTCAGTGATGTAACTGATACATTCTCCTGCTTTAACATCAAAATCAGTCAAGACAACATATGTTTAATATATATTTAGGATAATTTTATGTTAGGATTCTTGGTGTTTTCTCTATATTATTGTATAGTTATTACTTTACAAAATAAAGCGCCTTGAGAAGACTGTGTTTTGGTGCTAAATGAAACTGCATCAGCATAAGAAGCTGTACCATTTGCGGCTTCGTTGACCTCTGCCTGGGTGAGGCTCATTCGCTCTACTTTGGTGCTGGCTGCCTTCCTAAAACAAAGTGAACACAAAGTATGTTCAACAGGAGGATGTATGGGAACCATACTCTGGTAACTAACCTTTAACATACTGATAAGAACACGAGAAATGCTACTTACACTGATAGGGTGCCGGTGCGTCTTTTCTTTAATTTGGGGAGACGCTTTTTGTAGAAAAGAAAGAGGATGATGGCCATTACGAAGAGGAGGCAAAAGACTGCAATAAGACCTTTCTTCCAGCCAGCCATCTTCACTGCAGAATACATGTGACTAAAGTCATTACTTAGTTACAAAACACAGCAATAAAATGGACTCACAAAACCTCATTTTGGCTTAAAGTTGTTTAAATGTCACACATGAGTGCATGTACAGGTGCATAATCAATTTATTTATTTATATATTCATATCAGATGTGAAGTTTAGCACCCTATCCTTAAAAAATTAGGAAACTGGACAATTGGAGCACAGCAGAAGAACAGTATCTGAAATTCATGTCTTTAAGAAACAGAAAAAAATCTGAAATTTCTGATGAGGCTTCAGTTAACTCATCTACTGCTTACTGAAGCCTCATCAGAAATGATTTAAGTGGAAGGGTGACTCCCTGCTTCCCATTCTCAAGGAAGGGAAACAGTGAAAAACGGCTGAGGAAAGCCACAGTGACTGTCTACAGCTATCTGTAAAATACAGTGAAGGATCTATGATGGTGTCAGGGTTGCATTTTAGCCAGTGGTGTTGGGGATCAATAATACTGGGACTAAAACTGATGAAATTATGAACACAGAAAACATTTTGATCCACCATGTACAGTAATGCAGTGTGAACAGCCTCTGACTGGCAACAGCTCTGTTTTGCAGCATGACAATGATCCCGGACGCCCTAAGCTTTGAATGTATTTCAAAAAGATACGATAAGATAACCTTTATTAGTCCCACGCGTGGGAAATTTCCTTTTGCTTCTGCTTTTGCCTTACATTATGTATTTGCATATATGTTTGCACATCTTTTGGAAATAATTGAACCTATTTCCCATTTCCTTGCAAAACATAAAGAAATGAGAGGTGGCTCAAGACTTGCATAGCACTGCAACTCATTTTATCCCCAATGAAAATAATTTAAGCATTTATTTATTATTTTTGACTTCATATGTTCAAACGTTGTAGTTATTTCTTAGATATATTTAGATTATTATTTACCACTTGATAACATGAAGAAGAAATTAAGATGAATTTAAGAGTAGCCTGAGAACTTTGTACAATAAGTTCTTAGGCTACTCTTAGTGTAAATGAATAGAAATTCCAGCAGCTATTTTAGATTTCTTAAGTATTTCATAGCAAACTGTATCCATAAACAGCTAACACAGTATTCAGTGTCAAAACAACGATAGCATGTACAGCTGAAATACAATTGGAGACATTAAAAAACTACTGAGGCAACTGTTGTTGTGATTTGGCCCTATATAAATAACATTGAATTGAATGACGGTGCATTGTTTCCACAATAACAAGAAGGAAAGTAAAGAACGCTGGAGAAAGTTAAGAATGATCTTTTTATGGCCTCGGATAGTGGACTCATCTCCATGCTTGTCCTGTTAGGCCTGTAATTCTAATGACATTATACAGGCTTTCTTTAGACAGTATTATTAAAGGCACAGCATGCATTTTCACTGATATACAGATGATACACAGCTCTATCTACTGTATCCATGAAACCAGATAACACACTCCAATTAGTAAAACTGAAGGAAAATCTTATGCATATAAAGTTCCAGATGACTTCTAATTTCCTGCTTCTGAATTCAGAAAAAAAAATGAGTTTATTGTCTTTGCTACACTCCAATAGGCTTAGTCTGCTGGGGGTTTCCCACGACACCATGTTTCTTCTTTACTTACCTCTTTTCACTAGTCATTCCTAATCTTTCCACAGCATGTCTTGTGTCCTGTCTTCCTCACCCCTAACTAAGCAGATGAGTTTTTCCTTCCCACTATTGCTTGCTGACCACGGATCGTCTGATTGTTGCGCTTTTCTCCGTATTATTGTAGAGGAGTTACCTTACAATACCTTGCAATATAAAGCGTCTTGAGGTGACAATTAAGATTTGGCACTATATAAATAAAATGCATTTAATTTAATTGAAAACATGTTAATAAAAGACTTATTTTAATAGAGAGGAATATATATTAATTAAAAACAACCATACTGATAACTTCAAAATCTGTCAGTGGTTGTGAAGAACGACAATTTTATTGCTTCGAATTGGTTGCTTGTTGATAATACAGGAGGAAGCGAGCGCACTCATAATAGCATGAATGTCCTCACTTTTAAACATCACATATCTTTAAAGTCCAGCTGATGTTAA